TAAAATATTATATTTTTAATTTTTTATAATACACAACAAATATAAAGTTTGTATTTTTTTTATATTCACTGAATAGATTAAAATATTATCTAAATAAAAAATAACAAAATCATTTAATAATTATTAAAATGTATCATTTATAAGATGTTGAAAAGTAATTGGTGTATTTGTAAGTTCAAAAGACTTGACATTATATTCAAAATATTGATACTTAGTTTGAAATACAATCTTATATTTATCTTTTTTATATATATACTAGGTTTTATGCTCTTTCTAGATTTATTTTTGTATAAATTATTGTTTAATTTAATTGATCAATTAGTTTTGAAAACGAAGGTAGAAAATATCTATTCTTAATGGTGATCTTTTTGAGTCTTTGATAGTCTATAGACATATGTAATGATCTAATTTTTTTCTTTATAAATAAAATAAAAAATAATGTTTGAGGTTTTGAATAATATATGAAGTTTTTAGAAAGATTTTTTTTAATTTGTTTTCCTTCAATATAGCCAACTTATTTTGTACTAAGTTATAAATTGATCCAAATTGTAATTGAGTTCATTCTTAAAAATAAATTGAACAATCATAAGAACAATATTCTACAAAAATATCTACATTTTTTTTCTTTAAAATATCTTGATAATCTTCATATTGGCTTGAAATATTACTTAAAGTCTTTTCATTATTAGAAATAGGTGTGGTATAAACAACAAAAGATAATTCTTTTTTTATAATATGCATAAAAGCTCTTACACTTATCAATAAGAATTTAATTGTAATATACTTATAACTTTCTACTTTAATAACAAAATTCATGATTATACTATTAAAAAATTTAAGATTATAAAAAATCCAATCTATTTAAGGATTATATATTTTTAGCTATAATAAACCTAAAATAATTTTATTAGAAGGAAATTTAATAATATTAAATATTATTAAATAATTATATAAATTATTTATTATATTTAAAAAAATATTTTTATGGATAACATCTTCAAAAGATAATAAATGATCATCTATGACTTCCACATGCACATGCTTAATTTTCGTAACTACAAATATTTCATGTTTTTTAACAAAGTCTTTGTTTATGAAACAAGTTGAGGCTCTTGAATCTAATATGGCAAAGATTTTGTATTTTTTTGGTCTCAAATAAAAATCTATTGTAAAGCAAGGTAATGGGTTTAAAAAAAAAATAGGACTTTTATTAGGTATTGTACAAGATTTGAGCTGCACTATCCTTCTTGTAGTTAGAAAAACTTATTTTTTTAAGACATTGTATTCTTTAGCAATCATACTCTTCATCATTTGATTGCATTGCTTCTTTAGATAATGTTGAAGAGTGTGCTTAGCTTTTTGATAATACAAGCATAATCATTCTTTACAAAATTTAGTCTTATCTTACTCAATGAGATATTTGAAATGTACCATATCAGTTTGCATAAGTTTTAGCCTTGATAAATAAGTTTCCAAAAACTTAAAAATTGTTGTCATAACATGAGTTGTACCTCTCTAACCAAATCTTTATTCTTAACATTTTTCAAAAAATTGATTGTGATATACAATGATTTGAATAATAAATTATTCTAGTAAGTCTACTCTTGACATTGTCAACAATAAGTCTTTGATATTATCCTTCAATATATATCAAAATTGATTAATAAAGTCTTTATTATTTTAATCCACATTGCAAGTAAGATTTTAGAATTTAGCAGCATATATGGTAGTTGAACATAATCTTTGTCATAAAATATATGAATTTGATCTCTTCTACCATTTTTTAATCACTTTCTTCAAATGTGTTTGTGATACTTTTAAGAATAAATTCAGATCACAGAGGAGTTGTGAATTATTTTCTATCAAAGATGCAAACCAAAAAAGAATACTTCTAGATAGAAATGCACTTATGAATCCAACTTGAGTAAATCCATCAAAGTTTTGGAAAGGATGTAACTTTAGATAAAGCTTCACTTATTATAAAAATCTTTAAAATTGTGATTTTTTTCTATCAAACTTTTTTGGCATAATAATCCTTGCATCCCTCATACTTGTAGTAGCAATACTTTTCAAGTTCAATTATAAGCTTGATCTACTTGCTTTTCTTAATTGCATAATTTCTTGATATAGACTTGAACTTCATTGTTAATTTCTTCCATTGGCATAGGAATATTACGTCTATAGTTGATATTACTTATACATGAGATTTCCACTCTAAAAATGTTAATAAGATTATCAAAATCTGTAATATTTGCAAATCTATTCTTATTTCTATTGAATATAACAACAATATTTTTTGTTTTTTAAATTTTAATAAATATAAAAATCAAATTAAAAGAAGATAATCTGCAATCTCTAATATCAAATAAAAAAATCTACAAAAAAAAAAAAAAAAAAAAAAAAACTACTTTTTTTTAAAAAAGAATCAATGTTAGAAAATAAATAAATAAATATTAATTTACAGATGGATAGTTTGTAAAGTTTAAAGCATACTAAAAGAAGTAAAATAATATATATATATATATATATATATATATATATATATATATATATTTTTAAAAAAAAAATGATAATGAATTAAAATTCTTCTCAAACTATCAAGGACATGAATTACAAAGAACCAAAAGATCAATATACCCTTGTGTCATTAAAAAAAAACAAAATCACTCAAAGAGAGTATAATATTGAACTAGAATGGCTATTGTCGAAGAAAAGAAGTGTAGAGACTCTTAAAACAAGACTAAAGACTAAAAAGGCATTGATAAGAATGAAAAAAGCTTTACTCTTGTTTTTATATATACTTTCTAACTAAGACCTATGTAGCAATATTTTATAGGATTTCTAACACATGTCCAACTTCTAAGACTTATGTCTAAGTTTCATGATAAGTTTCTTACATGTACACCATATAGTTAGCTTGTATCACAAACTATCAACACATATGACATATAACTAACTTATTGGCTAAGTTTTTAATCAGTCAATTAGTCAATCAAAAACATGTATAAAAACAAATCCAAGTTTAAGAAGCTTCTAAGAAGCTTTATTATAAGGTATTATCAAATCTATTAAATTTTACCTTCTACCTAATGTTTCTTATTTAGATAATTTATGTATATCTGTGACACTAAAAAAAAAAATTATATCTTTATTTATTTAGATTTAAAGATCTTATTTCTAAATTCAACCTTAAATTATCAAACTTTTTATTTATAAAATAATTAAATAATAGCTATATATTAAAAATTCTATTTTATTTTTATTTTTTGTATCTATATATTAAAACCATGATTTTTTTCTATTTTTTCTTTTGATAAATTGTATCTATTAATTTTGGCATAATAATCTTTAAAATGATATATTTTTTATTTTTATTTTTATAATTTATATAATTTAATGTAGATTCTTTTTTATAATATAAAAAAAAATATTTTTTTAAAGAAATTTATAATTTATTTTTTGTATAATATATATATATATATTAGTAATAATTCTAGTCAAGTATTAAAAATATCATAATTTTTAATATGTCTAATTTGCAAAAGAATTATTTTAAAAACCAAAATAAAAATAAAGGTTTTTAATACACACTTGGCTAAAATAACATAATAAGAATAATTTATACTCAAACAAATGCTTAGCAAAGATCTTACTATTATTCTTTGTATCACAAGACATTTCATTAATACCTCCTAAATCATGCATTTGTCTTTTTTTGAACTTGAGATTGATTTTTTTTTTTATATTGTTATCTTTGTTATTTTATCCTATCATATCTTTTAATGCTCAAAATTATAAAAATTAGAAAATATTAAGTATTCATATCATATACATAAACAAAATGCTCAATTTGTGTTTTTAGAATTAATTTAAAACAAAAAAGATTTAAAAATAACATATATAAATTAAAACAAATATGATATGCAAACCTTATATTTTCTTGTCTACCATTCAAATTAAAATGATTTTAAGTACTTTGGATTTGCAAGTATATCTTTTTCACAATGTACTGAAGGATCCATGATTCTCAAAACCTATTGATTGATTGTGAATGCATTAAGCTTCTGAAAACATTAAACTCAAGGTTCAATTGTAGTTTGGTATTAATTTTTTTATAAAAGTTTCAGGCATAAATATACCTTATCAAAGAAAAATTAGATATAATATTCTTGAATAAAATCTAAGCTCTTTATGTTTGTACACCTTACCAAAGACTTGCATATAAGATCACAATATTTTGGCAAATACAAGTACTAAAGCAAGACATAAATGAAATATTTTTTCACAATTTTTTTGAAAACTCTTCTACATCCATGAAATGTACATAATGCAGACATCAAATAATTTAGAAGAAAATTTAGAGGGAATTCTAGAAGACAAATTAAAGAACCTAAATTTAATTATATTTATATATATATATATATATATATATATAAAACCTATTGAATCTTATCAATTTTGCAAAAGATTAAAGTAAAATTTTATTTTATAAATTAGAAATACTTTTCACTACTTGGTAATATTTTATAATGTATTTTGAGTCTTCAAATTAATACACAAATGTTTCAACTTATGTCAATCCATCATATTAGTATGTATGTATATATATATATATATGCAGATATTTTTTATTGATTTAAAATAACACAATATCTTCAAATTGATACACACATAGGAAGTTTACATGGTTTAAAAGCAAGTTTAAAGTTCACCGAAACTTTTCTTTTTGGTGTGTAAATTCTGTTTATAATACTTTTAGGGAACTGCCCGCTGCCCGAAATTCCAAAACAGAGAATACAGGCCGTTCAACGATATGTCCGACGATTCCCGACCCAAAAGAAACTCGAATTCTATTGAACAGCAACATTAAAAATAAAATCTACGTATATGTAGCCTGAGCCCAAGCTTCCATTTCCGCAATGCTCTGTGAACAACACGGCGGTGATTCTACGACTTCTTAAAATATATAAAACATTCAACGTCAGATCTACAAAATAAGGGCAGGAGTTGTCGACTCATCTGTGTCCTGTGCTGTTGTGATGGCCATGGAGTGCGAGCTCTCGTCTGGGTTTCTGTGAACGATTTAATGGTTCGGATTGGAGTCTGAGATGTGTGGGTTCTTTCATTATTGGGGTCAATGGGGATGCGAGGTTCGAGAATTTGATTGCAAGCAGCAGCAGCAGGAGGAGGAGTAGGAGGAGAAAGAGGAGGTAGTGGTGGTGGTAGATGTGCAATGAAGAGTAGGAGGTGAGATTGGAGATGCACAAACCTTGGGTTAGATGTGTGGACGATGTGTGGGTTTGGTGATGGAAAATGGAGTTAGATTCGTCACTCGGAGGCCGTGGAGGTAGCTTAGGGCTTGTGAGTCGATTCCTTGTGTCGGGTGTAAGGAATTGAGTCTTTGCTGGGTTCTTACTTAGGTCAAGGCAACGCTCTTCTGCGGGTCCCTGTCTCACTGGTTGACAGCGAAGACAAAGGTAATTGTGTGTATGAGTGTCGCCTTGGAAGTCTTAGAATCGTTCATGAAGCACCTGGTTGTTAATGTCGACCTTTTATTTTATTTTATTTCCCCCCCCCCCCCCCCCCCCCCCTAAACTCAGCTTCTTGTTAATTTCGCATTTGGACTTTGTAGTCTGAAAGCAATTAGGCGAAACTAGTGTTTAGTGCGACATTCTGAATTATTGTATCCATTACACGGTATCTAACTAAAATTTGGAGTACTCAATCGATGCCAAATTACATTAGTAGTTGTTGCCATGTGAATTCTGCACTGCTACAAGTTTTTTTTGGCAATAAACTCTGCAGTTTTTGACAGCAAACGTGAGGCTACCGTCTTCTTTTTCTTTTCATTGTCCTTGTCCATCTCCTTTATTTGTGTTCATGTTTTAAAATCCATTTCCCTTTTCTTCCCTTGTCCTCACAGAAAATCATCTGTGAATCTAACTTGCGGATTGATTTATCTTTTATGTTACTATCGTAGTTATGGAACACTCATTATTGGTACGCTTTAGAGTTTTTATTACATTCACAGAGTATCTTGAATCTTAGTTTTTCGACTGACAAGTTTCTCAATCGAAGCTTTGCCTTTGGGTTGGATGATTAAAAGCCCCCTTGCAATCTAGATGTAGGCTTAGTGGTGTCGGTATGGTGCAGTCTGTTGTGGTTATTTTGAGGTATTGAAATTGAACTGTCTGTGTTTTTGAATCAACGACTTTGCGAAAGGGTATAGACCGAAAAGCATTGAAAAACTTCCGCTTGAAGTGGTTTACTTGTGGTGGTTGCGCCTGACAGGTCATTTATTTTTTGTGTTTGTCTTCTGCAGAATCCCTGCGCGTTAATTTATCTGGCGTACGTACTTATTGTCAAGGGAGCAGATAGAAAAAGTTTGAGAATTATACCAGCAGCATCTGAACTACATTGAGATAAGAATTCGTTTATGTCACACTATGCCGAGTATGGCATTGACAATGTTATCCTCAGGTGCAGTGGCGGGGTTGGATACCCATCCTTTCACTGGCGTGTGTACAGCAGCTCAGGGTCGATACCATAATCGTCTATTACGTGTGTCGAATCAGTCAGTTGTGCAAGAAACTCTTCTTCACAAGTCGCTCGTAGTGAATGCATCTACAAGTAAACCAGGGAAGAGTTTTGGATCAGACAGACACTGGAGGCGAAGTCTCGGAAGTGGCAGCAAACGTGGAGTCTGCAGATGTGCGGGGTCTGAAAACATCGATAAAAATGGTAGCAACTATGACGAGGAAAAGAACGAGAAAAGCAATGACGGAATTCCTGGGACTTCCGGCAGTGGAAATAAACCACAGCAGAAGAAACCGCAAGTACGTGCACTAGCTTTCTACATACCAGCACAGCGGCATAAGTGTATCTTTTTTTAGCGATCGCACGAGACGTTACACCCTTCATGAACCAGAATACTTTTTCCTGGCTTGAATGCATTAGTTAACAATTAAAGTGAAATAGTCAGTATAGAAACTATTTTTTTCACACCTTAATGCAGGAATTCAATTTACTCATTGTAGAACTTATGTGCAAGAATATGGTAATGTGCATGGCACCTCACTGAATTTCAACATGCCAGGATTACGTGGATCTGCCTTGGCTGATAAGCTGAAATGACTTTGCAGGCAACTGTGAAGACGGGAAATCCACTACGGGAGATGATTGCCACAGCCGGACAACGTTTGCAAGACTATCTTGAGAGTTACAAGCAGAAGAAGGGGATTCAGGACGAAAAGACTGCAGTCTTGAATACACTGGCCAAGGACGAAACTGCCTGGGAGAAAATACAACAATTATTCTCTGAAGTTGATGAGCGTCAAAACATGGTCCAAAAGTTGCAGGTAAACAAGTGTTAATTTTCCGAGCATGCTCAGTGGTTCTTTTCATCTGCAAGCAGGTGACGCTATAATTGGCATCGTTGTTTGTCCCGTGCTTTGTGTATACTAAACTACAATTTATAAAGCACTTCTTATAAGGATGTTATATGTTCGACATAGGACATTTATTTTGGGTGGTTTAAATCTTTTGATTGTACAACGACGGGTAGATTCTAACCTTTTGGAACTCTTGAGATTATTGTCCTGAGATTACTAGCCTTTTGTGTTTCTCTAGAAGTGTCGGTATGAATCAATTGGATGTGAACTGGGGACACTTGCTGGAATTTTGCTTCAACTGTTGGTGAATTCTCTTACGAACATGGAAACGAGGATCTGCTAACTGAGTAACTCATGTGTTTTGTTTGATGATTTCATGGTATGTTTTGTGCATTGAAACCTGTACTCAGCTTCAAATTGAAGAGGCAATCAACTTGGAGGATTTTGAGAAAGCTGGGCGTATCAAGAAAAAATTGGCTGCCGTGAAATCCGAGGACCTGGTCGCAGGTGCCATGAGTGATTATAAGGTCCACCACTTTACTGCATGTCTTGTGTGCTTTGTTTTGTTTTCAGATGTTTCGTGCTTAAATATAGTCCTTCAGTTCCTTACTCACTCCTAGTGATTTTTGCTCAAAGGTGAGAATCAGCATTAAAAAATAAAATTACAGGTTTTCAGCATATCTTTTATCTCAAACCACATCAATAATGCTAATTTATTAAGATACGTTGTTTTATTACATAACATATCTTAATGAGCATGAGTTGAGTAACTTGAATGCAGTTTGAAGAATTACAGGATGACTTTTAGGACTGTTTTAAGACGGCTTTTTTCTTTTTGATCATCTCGAGAAGTATTAAGTATGCAAGCATGTTGAAAGTTGGTTTGCATCTTCTCTTAGAATGCATTGGAGGAAGAAAGATACAGAGATGCTGCTTATTTACGTGACGAGGCTGGTGTTGGTCTTGTAAGTATTCAACTCTTTCTTCCTTTCTCTTTTTCTTTGGCTGCACGTACTTGGTGTGAACAGATGCTTGAGACCCAATCTGCTGATCACGTATTCGAAGTTACTCATGCCAAACTAGTATAAATCGTCTGCATTGTTTCACTCCAGGTCGACTTCTAGTCAATCTCAGGAGCAACCTAGGAGCATTATATAGATCAGTGTCTAGCTCACTGTTAAATAACCAAATCCTAGGTTGTAAGCAGCTATTATGTTTTCTTGTATTTCCAGGTTTATTCTCCCCGTCATTTATTTTAAATGTGCTACTCATGTCAGACCTTAGTCGGTGCTAATTTTCTACTTCTTTGGTCAGGTGGGTTGGTGGGCTGGTATGTCTGAAGACGATAAGGATCCGTATGGACGTATCATCAATATTTCTCCTTCAGAAGGCAGGTTTATTGCAAAAGGTTTCAGTGCCAGGTGATTTATGAGTGTGTGGGTGGATTAGCATGTTGTTGAACCAAATTTTCAAATGAAGCTACTCTTTTACGAGGTACATTGAAGATTTTTTGATTACTATTAGGTGTTAACTTATTTGTTGCCGAAATTTTTCGCCGACTTTTTGCGTGCATCATGGTGTGATGGTTGACGAACGGAAGTCGCAGCGAAGGATGTTGAAGGGCAGATTGTACTTGATCTTTTCTTAAAAGTTCGTTTTGATATTTCAGGCAACTTGCTTTGGCAACAGCAGGCGTCCCTTTATTTGAGGTGTATGTCACAAAGGATGAAGTTAATAAGTATCAGCAGCATGCTGTGTATCTTCAAAGAGATGCAAATGGTGCTGCGGTGTCAATAGTGGGGCTCAGCAAAGACGTTTTCGATTTTGAGGACATGTTAGGGGAAGCTAACAAGGATGTGCAAGTGAGTGGTAATGATATGCTTGATTTTTCAAGTGTAATGGGAGAATCCAGCAGAAATCTGCATCTGAAATTGGATTTAATGGAGGATATCTTGAAGGAGGACCATAAGGAGGTTTTTGACAAAATGAAAGAAGTTCTTAAAAAGGATGGTGAAAATGTTTCAATAGAAGGTCTTAAAAAGATCCTTGATTTTCTGGAAGATCGGATGCCGGATGTCAAAATGAAAGTTTTTCAGGTTTGTTTTACTTATCTTATTTAACTGCGATTGGTTGTTAAGTTTATATAATTCTCGTGTGCAATTTTTCCACACGAGTTAATGACACATGTTTGAGGTACTTGTACGCGCATTTATGAAAGAGTTTTCGGCGTACTGACCCTCTTGTTTTTCGCTGTTACTACACAGGTAATAGTAAACGGAAAAATAGAAGCTGATTTGCCAAGTATCGTTGAGCAGTTGATGGAGGATGCAGAAGATGAGCTTCTCAGAGACGAAGAATTGGCTGGTGCCGGTAACAGCAATTCTGGTCTGCAGTTTATCCAGTCTGTGGATGGATTACCACCTGTAGGCAGCTTCTCTTTGCCAACAAATGGCAGATCTGGGTTGGTAGAAGTAGGAGCTTTAGGGGGTGATTTTCATCGTAGGGCGCTGCATCGTGTGTCTGCCAACATTGAGCGGAGGAACAAGGACAACTTTGTTTTTTACATCGCTGAATCCAAATTGCTAACTACCTTGGAGGATACGGATTCAGTCGTAACAATGGTACCTGGCGTTAAAGAATTCTCTGTTGATACCAGGCCTCTTGATCCAGTTGAAGAGTTTCTGCAGAGTTTAGGCAAATCTCTGAAAGTAAGTACAATTTGACTACTTTTGATGAGAGAGTAGGATACTATAGGATTTCACATCTTAATAGCATTTTCCTTCTAAACAATTTCTGATGGTGTTGTGCAATTATAATCTGATTGATGATAATTTCCAAGAAGCGTTACATGTTTGTTTCCGTATCTCTTGTCAATGACGCTTCTTTGTGAATAATGGTTATGACATGTTGACAGACGGATCCCGAGGACTCGGAGGAGAGCGATACTGTCGAGATGGAGATATCAAGCAAAGATTTGGAAGAGCTTCTAGACGAAGCCGTCACTAAGGCTCGAAATCGGCGGGGTTTGTTTAAAAGTACCGTGTTTCGGCGAATCAACGTATCGGATGCAGGCAATGATCCATTTTCTGGTATGCTTTATTCTGAAAGCATGTTGTGAATGTTCTGATGCTTGAATTTTCCTGGTAAAACTAGTTTTTCAACCTTAGCTTTTAGCATCTCTTTCCTCGAGATATTGTCAATGTTACTGGTGTCAATACACATCATATGTGCATGTCACGCTCAGGTCTTCCTTTCTGCTCCATGGAGAGTTTTACATCCTTTTGTTCCGAGCAGGGTTGTACATTGGATCTTTGGGACCCCACTCTGCAGAGGTAGTGCAACTTCAACGAAAGTTTGGCAATTGGCAGACCACTGATACCTTTTCTACTGCTCAAGAATGGGAATGTTTTGAGTATGTTGAAGCTGTAAAGTTGACCGGCGATGTGAATGTGCCTGCTGGCCAGGTACTTCATTATTTAAACAAACATCTCTTTGTATTGTATTTCTTCGGTTGTACAAACTTGGTCGAAGTAGGTTCAATGATGCAATTTGGGTCTCTAGTACCAACTGCTGAGCTAAATTTTCAAATCTGTGAAGGTTTCTTTCCGTGCTAAAGTTGGGAAAGGCAGCCGATTGCCGCATAGGGGAGTTTATCCGGAGGAGCTTGGTGTGGTAAGACATTTGCAAGACTGCTGTATAAATTCAGCCACTTGCTGCTTGTACACAGGTCTTGACACAGTGTCTTCTTTTGCTGCTCTTTCATTACTTATCAACTGGCAATGATTATTGATTTGGAAATGCATTTGGTTGACCAGACGGCAAGGTACAAAGGACAGGCTAGGATGGCTGAACCAGGTTTTAAAAATCCTCAATGGGTGGATGGTGAACTCGTACTTTTAAATGGCAAGGTTTGTGCACATAGGATATTCATGAATTAATTTATTTTTCATCTCTAAATAGTGAAGAGTGATACCGTTAAGCCTCTTAATATTACTGGAGATCAGTTCCTTAGTGTGTAGTCGTTTGTCATGTCAGTTTTATTCTGTACTTTTCAACATGACTTGCTTAGGAGCTGCTCGTTAACTTGATTCAACTTCTGTGCCTTTTGCTCACAGGGAGGCCCGACAAGTGGTGCTGAGCTTGGTTTTGTCTGTTTAGGACCAGGAAGTCATTTTCTAGTGTTGTTTGGGAGACTGAAGCTGAAAGATCGATTGATTTCATAACGGGACTAATAATTTGACAGTATATGGTAGCATCCCACGCTCCATTCCTCGCATCAAAATGTGAAAGCTTCACAATCAACTCAAATAACCTCAACATGGAGCATTCTGCAGAAACTAATTTTTAGTAAAGGAGGTTTGCAGCTTAACATATTCCATTTTTCTCCACGTTGTTTATCCGATCGACAGCACCTTCACGGGAAAGTTTTACTTAATGTTTGAAACAGGAAATATTAGCTTTATGCGAGCGGTAGCTTGATGTGGAACGTAGTGACGCAGTATAATTGCCAGCGAACCACTGCTGGAAGTGAAGATTTCATTGTCGACAGAGACAGGAAGTCCGGAAGTTCCCCATTTAGTTAACTGGCTTTGGTTTTCCTGCTACCTTCAACTGTATATTAAACAGAGATGTCGCTCTTGCTTGGCAATGAGGCATTGTTGTGAAAGATCAAAGAATTTTGTGGCATTTTTTATTGCCACAAAAAGAGTGTATTTTTTATTTTTTAATTTTTTTTCTTTCAATTTCGACTCTCATCATTATCATTTTATCACTTTAAAGGCATCTTTATCATACAAATATCAGAATGGGGGGGCACTACCAGTTTAATACTATGGGTGCTCAGCTTTTCCTGATAGGTGTTCTAGTCAACCAGTCTCATCTTTTCATCTATTATGGTTGCCCATGAAGGGTAATCCCAAATCCTGCCCAAGCAGGGGCAGTCTTGGATGCTACCCATAATGGGCGATTGAGACCCCAATTGCTATTAATGGGCAGCCTAAATCCAACATGAGACTGGATTGTCAAAATCCAAGCCCTAGGAATCCCAATTTAATGGCACTGCATTTATAGAGTTATTGTTTTTGTTGTGTTCAACTTTATAGGACTCAATTGGTGCAGAAGTCAATGTTTGTTGATTGTAGTCGTCCAAGTCAAGTTTGTGTGTGTTTCTACTACTTTGATGTTTTGTTTTAAGAATGTGATAGGATTTTGTGGCTTTGTTATGGAGCTTAGTAGGGATCCAATCCAATAGTGAGAAGATGGGAAGAGATTTGGGTTTTTGTTGGGCTTAAACTCCTTTTTATATTTAATCTAAATACTAAAAGTATTAAATGGGTTTTTGCGAATTATTAAAAATTCTCTAAATTTAAACATGTTGTATTAAATTTTATCAAGTTTTCAAAAAATATTTTTTAATGATTAAATATTTTAAAAATTATTTAAATAACTTGAATTTTTTTAAATATCACAAAATAATACAATTGTTAAAGAGAAGTTTATATGAGTAGTTTTGAATTAATATGTGACTTGTCAATGTTGTAGAAGATTATATATTTAAATTTTTTTTAAAATCATTATCAAATAACAATAAATATATATGTTCTTAAATGTCATATAATAATTATTAATAGATGATATTCTAAGATTCTTATTTTTTTTTAAGAATTTGGTATTAATAAATTTTTACAAATTATAATTTTATTATAAAAAATAATATATGTATTAATAAATTTATGATTATTCTGAGATCCATTTTTTTTATTATTGATTTGATTTTTTTTCAAAGTATTTTTTTTATATGTGTTTGTCTTTATAATTTTTATTTATTAATAAAATAATTTAAGTAAATATTAATTAATATTATCTATAAAATTTATTACTATTCTATGATTTTATTATTTGAATGTATTGGTTGTAAGGAACTTATTAGTTTATAATATGATGTAAAATTACATCAATAGACTTCATCTTTTATACTACATTCTAACAATGTGTCAAAAAAAAATGAATACAAATTATAACAAAGAAAATATTTTACACCATATTTCCCTACTTGATTAATTTTAAATACAAGACTTGAATAAAAGTTAGATTAGACAAAGTAAAGACTTAATCTAAGACTAATAAGATCAACAATTATATAGGTCCAACAACTTAATTTATTTGTCAACAACTTGTTGATAAGAGGGCCTAAGTAGTAGTGATTAGATCTTCTTTTATTATGAATCAATCAAATATTTGACTAAATTGGCAAACTTATATTATCTATGGTGGACCTTTCTTCATTTCATTAAATTTAATAACCATTGTAGAAGATAGGATAGATTGCTATGGAACACAATTACTTTGAATTGGGAGGCTCTTTTCAAGTTACTTTGCTTATCCATGTGAAAATCTCAGTTTTGTATTATAACTCTTAAATTAAATCTAGCAAATCAAATACTCTTTTAATTAGTATTTTATTTAACTCATGTATGTATTATATTTTAAAAGTCATTGTGAAATTTAATATTTATTAATAAATAAATTTTAGCTTTATTTTTACTCTTTGATAATTAACTCCAATACCAATCTTAATTTACTTTCTTGCATTGTACCTACATGCCATTTTAGATCAATTATGAGTGCTTTACTACTAAGCTATCTTCTAAACTTGAAGGTATCAAGTTGTAGTTGTATTTCTATTCTACTATTCTTTTTAGTACTTTCTAAAGAAATATTAGGGCTTATAATCTATTTTGGTCTTTATTTATTGAAAGGCCTAATTTTGGTAAGTAAAATATTTCTTGATTATTACATTATATCTTATTTTAAAGCATCAAAGTCTTCTTGAACTTAGTCTTGTATTTTTTTGTTGGTCAAGTTATTTTTTAACAATGTTTACGTTTTTAAAGAAGTCACTACTTTTTATTTTAACTCGTTTATTTATCTTAGAAATCTTAGGTAATATCAATACCAATTAACATTATTTGGTGCTTTAAGTTGTGTTTCTCTTTTAGTTGTTATAAAGATAATGATTGGCAATTAAAATTTCATCCAAAGCTTGCCATGTCTTAGATCTTTTTACATCTTTCTAGTATTGTTAATTAGTGGTATATCAAGAAAGATAATTTTAAAATATTTTTTTTAGAAAAATATTATGATTCTCCTTTTTTACTTAAACAAATCTCTTAAGTTTTTTTGATAAGATCTATGTTTTGTTTTTCTTATCATATGATTATATTACAACAAAAGTTTCTTCTATTTTTAATTTTATTACAAAAGCTTTGGTTGTCTTTTATAATATAAAATTTATTCTTTTATTCAATTAGTTTTAAATATATTTTAGGAAAAATTGCTATATTTTAAAATTTTAAGGTTTTTTTTTTGCTTCTATTACATTGAATACTTTAGATCTTCTCAACTATGTAACTACTACTTCTTACTGATACTTCTTTCTTAGACATCAATCTAATAATCTTTGACTTTCATCTTATATTGTTTAATTGAATTTTAGATTTTAAAAATCTCTCTCTCTCTCTCTCTCTCTCTCTCTCTCTTGCGCTCTCTCTCTCTCTCTCTCTCTCTCTCTCTCTCTCTCTCTCTCTATATATATATATATATAGAATTTTTTATATCCTTAATTTAGAAAAAATTTATAAATGCACATGTGATAGATATATTTTTGTACTATTCTACAATTACATTTATGACGTTGAACTGTATTCTTATCTTATTTCATTTCTTTTGTAAAAGAGTTTCTAAAGAATCTTTCTTTGTATTAATTTTATTTGTCTTTTATAAATTAGAACTTAATGAAAAATATAAAAAATAATAATTTAAATATTTGTACTCATTAACATTCTTATGCAAGATCTTTTCAATTTAAAAAGAATATGCTACTTCTAAATCTAATTTACAAAAAATTATATAAATGTTTTTAAGTATTTTATAGTAAAAAATATATCATTATCAACTTTAACTTAGAAATTAATTTTTATATTGTTTTTTTACATATTTAGACTATAAAAAATTTACATATTTTTTTTTTAAGATATTTGCTTTTGGAAGATTAACATTAAAGTTGAAGATAGTTGACGGCCAACACCTAAGCAATTAAGAGGCTTTTTTTTCAAACTAATAAGTTGGATTCTTCTTTAAATTGTTGTACTTGTTTTTAATCATTAATTTGTAAATTGTGCAAAGTTTTAAGCAAGATCAATAATTTATTCAATAGTTATTGAGATTTTAAGAGTACTATAGGATTGATTAGGATTGGTTAAATTTCAATTGGGGTTTAATTAAGATTTGTAAGATATTTTTAGAATTTTATCAAGATTTTTTAAGATTATTTTAGAATTTGGTAGGACTTATTTAGGATTTTATAAGAATTTCATTAGAATTTGGTTAGAATTTATTTAGTATTATTTAGGATTTTTTAAAATTTTAATTAGGATAATTAGAATTTAATTAAAATATTATTTGGATTTTATTTAAGAATCTTTTAGGATTTTTATAACTTCTTTAGTATTTTATTTTTAGAATTATTTTTGGATTTATTTTTTATAATTTCTTTGATATTAATTTATTGATTTTTTAATATTTGTTTTAAAAATTTCTTTATGATTGATTTATGAGTAATTTAGAATTTTTTTAGAATTTTTTTTAATATTTTTTATGATTTAATTTTTTTTTATGAATTATCTAATAATTTTTTTAGGATTTCTTTAATATTCTTTTGGATTTAATTGAAGTTTAAAAATAATTTCAATAAAGATTTGTTAAGAATCTTACTAATACTCTTATGTTCTTTGTTTGTGGCAAATATAATTTTCTTTCTACAGCCAAATGCCAAAAGCATTCCCAAATTAGTTTTCACATAATACAATATTGCATACATTGTCAAGGATATGAATTTAGACAAATTCAAAAAGCTAATATACTCATATATCAATAAAAAAGAAAAAAAATAAGAAAAAAGAGATAGTTATGAGATATAACTATGAGATATATAAAACGGCTATTGGAAAATATAAAGAGATAAAAAAGTCTTGAATGAAGATATGAAGATAAGATATTGACTTGATTAAGAATTACCTTACAAGTCCAATAAACAGATCTTAATTGGTAGATTTGTTAAAAATATAGTTTTAAATTTTTTAGATATAAAATAGTAATATTAGAAATTTTATTATTATTTAAATATTTATTAGACTTAAAAGCATATTATTGTAAGAATATTATTAGAAAAAATCATTAATATAGAAGCTTAATAAGTCTTTGAAGGAATTATCTCAGCTAATATACTATTATTTTTTTTTATTAGTGAGTATTAATATTTAATTATTAATAATAATATCTACATTAGCCTTCTATCCATGCATATAGATTATAAAAAAAACCATAAATATTAATTAGTAGTTAAAAGCAATATAAAAAAGAACCTTGTACCTTTTAGTTACTAATATAAAAAATAATATTTTTAATTAATTTAAATTGAATTTATTATTTTTTATAATATATTTATTATTTTTTAAACATTCATAACTTATTAATGGTAACTTGAGTTTATACGTTTCTAATATAATTAGAAAGATAATAAAATTACTTATCTAAGGAATAGTAATTATCTTTATTTTTTATTCTTTACTAGGTAAACATCTAATAATCAAATTATGACTAGTTTTGTAGTGCATAATTGCTTGATTGCAATTCTTTTACTTATTTTTATTTCTTGTTATTTTTTCTTCCTACTTTATACCAC